AAAAAACCCTTCAAGTCAACAACATGCCACACTTTCTCATAGTCTGGGGTATATCTAAGTCTCAGTGGATTTCTACAAATTCACAACTTAAATTCACTTAAATTTAAAAAGTTAGAATCATGTAGCATTTTTGACACAGGGCCATCAGAAAGTGATCTACAAAAGATAGGGGTTAAAATTCCTAATTCTTTGGCATATTAGGGATGGTGTGTCAAAACAGTCAACATGGTCAATTTGATTTTTATGCTAATCATTTAGTTACATTCATTCTTATTCTCCCTCAATTTCAGTTATATTGTAGCCAGATTGTTGTAGGAAGAACACTTGGTTATGACGGTGATTGTTTATTGCAAAAGTCACTCCCTCAGATGGTACAAAGAAATAACATATTTTTAGAACTGAGAGGAAAGATATTTTAATAATTCCCTCATTACAGATGAGGAATCCTATATCCACAGAATAGGATGGATAGCACCCAAATGACACAGCCAATAGACAAAAAAATTCTTCTAATTCAGAACTATAAATATTTCAGTTAACCCATAATCAAAAGATGTGTTGCATTGATCTCTCCCAGGTGCTAATGAGCAACAATGTCAGTTTAAGGACTAAGGTGTACCGGATTCAAGCCATGGTCTCTTCCATTACTTCCTATGCATCTGAAAGTTGGACAATGAATAAGGGTGACTGAAGAAGAACCTTTAAGCTGTGGTGCCTTTAAGCTGTGGTGTTAGAGAAGAGTACAGCATAACCCATGGACTGCCAAAAAAACAAACAAGTTTGTCTTGGAGAAAGTGCAACCAGGGTATTCTTAAAGGCAGACATGGTGAAACTTCATCTCACATACATTGAACATGTTGTTAGGAGGAGGTAATCCTTGGGAAAAGACATTACGCTTGGAAACGTAGAAGGCCAGCAAGAGATGAAGACCCTCAACAAGGTGGACTGAGACAGTGACTATAAAAATGGGCTCAAGTATAGCAGAGATTGTGAGGATGGCACAATATAGGCTAGGGTTCAGATACGTTGTTCATATGGTTGCAATAAGTCATAACCATCCTGATGGCACCTAACAATAAAAAGGGTTCAAAAACAACAACAGACTGGTCAACCTTTAAGTCTCATGAGGGCTGGAACTGAATAATTCCGTTCAATCCCTTACTGAAAATTTGCATTTCCACCCAATATATGTAGAATCAGAATTAACTCCCTGTAGAGAATCTGCCTTTCCGCACCAGAGCTACTGAATTATCAAGTGTTTCTTAGAGATACTAATCACTCGTAGGGAGAAAGATGGGCAATCTCCTCCTATGGGATTTACAATTTATAATGTATTTACAATCCACTGGAGGGTCAGTTATGAGTCAGTTCCAGCTCAATGGCAATCGTTGAGTTGAATCACTTGTGGGCCTTGTCAAAATGTATATGCTAATTCAAGAGATCGAGGGTGGAAAGGCAAATTTTCAGTGGTAGGAGCAAACTGGAATGAGCCAGTTCAAGTACTTGCTCATCGTCAATTACAATGAGCTGAGCCCTGTTGGATTCTTGGCATCACATTAGATGCTTTATCAACAGTCTTTCCCAGACCTGGCCAAGCACTAAATATTCAAATGGAAACAGTGGCATCTAGCCCAAAAAGTCTAGGAAGAAACAAACAATATAAGTCAGTTTAATTATAAATACTATTCTTCAGATTTTGCTGTTTCTTGCTAAAAGCTAATGTCAAGCCATGATCGTGAGTAGCTGCTAAGAGACAATGCCAAACCATGATCATAAGTACTGGCAAAACTATATGCCTTTTAACTATGGCTGGGAGCACTGGTGCCTTAGTGGTTGGAGTTGTGCTGCCAACCCAAAGGAACTTTGTTCAAAAACACTAGCTGTTCCATGGGAGAAAAATAGGCAATCTCTCCTGTGTGATTTCTGCCTCTGAAAACCTGCTGGAGAGTCAGCCACGGGTAGATTCAGGCTCCATGGTCCACAACAATAGACTTCAGAAGAAGGAACAAATTTGTCTTAGAAGTACTGTTAGAATATTCCTCAGAAGCAAGAATGGTGAAACATGTTACCAGGAGGGCCTGGTGCCCAGAGAAAGATACATGCTTGAAAAAAGTAGAGGGTCAGAAAAAAAAAAAAGAAAAAAAGACGAACAACGTCAAAGAGGTGGATTGATTCGCACAGTGGCTGCAACAGTGGACGCAAACACAGCACCAACTATGAAGCTGGAAAAGGACTGACAATCTTCTGTTTTGTTCTCTTTAATAGGGTGGCTATGAGTAGGGACTGACACAATAGCACAAAACAATACAACTCTGTAAGAAAATGGCTATGAAACTCACTTAACAAATGAAGATATTGACATTAGAAAACTGGCCCAAGACTATAAAGTTAGTCAACAATTGAGCCACATTAGTTTGACTCCACAGCCTGTGCTCTTAACCACTATTCTATGTTTTGTTAAACATTTAGCATTTTTACTTCAATGCTAATTACCAGTGTGGTACATCCTAAAGCCTGCATTTGTATCTACAAAGCACATGTTCCTTTTAGGTTATTTAGCTTGCCCCTGGCAGGGTATGTTTAATACTTTTGACGTAACTATCCAAGATGGTTCTTCTGTTTTCTGACTCAGTCAAGATTGGTCATGT